TGGTGCGGGAGAATTATCTGTATTCTGTCAATCATATTTTAATAAAACGCTGATTGGCCAGGCAGGCAGTATAGGCGGGAAAGCCAGACAGGAAGTAGGGGTGGAGCAAAGAGACTGGGAGAATTCTGGGAAGCAGAGAGGTTCCTCTGCCATTCCGGTGCAGACCACGGAAGAAGCAACATGTAAGCTGTCACACTGAGAAAGGTAATGAGCCCATGTGGCTAACGTAGATAAGAATAATGGGGTAACATAAGTTATACGAGCTAATAAGTAGCCTGACCTAATGAGCCAATCAATTTATAACCTTATGGAGTCTTGTGCGTGATTTTCCTTGGGAGTTGCCGGCTGTGTGGTACTGGGCAGGAATGGAAACCCCAACAAGCCGGCCCCCTCATACTACAAATAATATTAAATATATTACATATTTATAATATTTTAGACATTATTTCTTATTGTTAATATATGATATATTAATATTTATATATTTTATATGATTGAAAATATTATTATTGTCTGGTGACAAACCCATAAGTACAAATGACATAAGCTGACCAATATCCAGCTTTCTGCTCCGTTTTCTTCTCTAAATTTGAGGAAAATGTTTGACTGCTCACAGGGAGGACTTGGACCAGGAAGAGAAGGCCAAGTTTGGGGAGTACTGCAGTGGTGAAGATGGGAAAGGCCGTGAGTGGTTCGCACGGTTTGTGAGTGCACAGGTGAGTGCAAGGTGGGCAAAAAGAACGAGCAACCTGGCCAGCACCACCATGGTAGAGAGTAGAGGGCATAAGCCAGTAGAATGAGGCCACAGACAGCTGGGGCAGCATATAAAGGCCTACCCTTGACTGGAAGCTCGAGTAAGGACTATGGCAAGCTTGAAATTTCTCTTTCAGAGACAAGCATATGGGCTCTGTCCATGCATATTATTTTTATGTTATATTTATATTAAATAACCCACAGTATTCAAATTTTGTCAAATAAAACATTTCAAGGTTGTGACGGGCAGGTAAAACCGGATGTATTGCGAAAGCATGGGAAGAATCACATCTTGCATATTCCCATTATAGGGATGTATTCTTCATAGAGAAGTTAGAAAATGCAGAAAACAGTAATTAGCAAAGCCCAGAATAGCCAGTTGTCACCTGGGGTTCTGTCACACCGTACTTCTCCCCATGGAGAAGCTTTACGAAATCCTGTGAGGACAATGCAGGAGAGCACCTTCTGGGCTCCAGTGCTGAGTGCCTGTGTCCTGCCCAGAGTCCTGGCAGAAGGGAAGCAGCCATTGGGGCCCATCTAAGAAACGTGGAGAAACGCAGAGTGACAAGCGTCCAGCCTTGCTGAACTGCTGCATGTCACCAGGTCTTGCTGATTTTCCTGGTTCTCTCTGCACAGCGCTGCAAGTCCAAGTGTGTGTCTGAGCCAACCTTCTACCGCCTGGTGCAGTCCTTCGCGGTGGTGCTGTTTGAGTAAGTGATGTCCTCCCCAAAGCCTCCTGCAGTTGTCCGTCCCACCTTTCCCACCTGTGATGAACCAGCTGTAGCAGCCACACCAGCTGTCACCCTCTTTTAGCTAGAATTCATGACCAGAATCTTCTGGGCTCCCTCCTGCCTTGGTGGGAGATGAGGTTGTTCTGTTTGCCCTTCTCATTCACAGTGCAGCAACTGTAACTGGACTGGTATAATTTCCTTTTTTTAAAAAAAAGCTTCTTTCTCTCCATGTGTTTGCTAAGTTGAATGGCTGTGTGAATATTCCATTAACGTTTGGTTGTAATCTTCAGCATACCGTGGTACAGTGAGAGCAGCCCTTTGCATCTGTAGAATGCCACACAGTATGTCACTCTCTTGTATACAATAGTTTGTTATGGTTTTCAACAAGTGACACAGAAGACTTGCATATTTATCTACTGTGGTTCACAAGTGCTACCCCTGGACCAGAAGAGTAGGGACAGCAATGGCCTGGGGTCTTGTGAATTTTATGTATTCTTACCCCGCCAAATCTCTGAGTCTGAGCCAGGGGCTGTCCAGTGGTGCATGTCCTAACAGCCCTCCAGGATGTCTGACACCCAGAGCCAGGCCATGCCCCTGCAGTGGCTCTCCTGACTGCATGCTTGCATGTTTCTGTCACTGCCTGGCAGTGTCTTGGTACTGAGGCTTCTGCAGCACTTTGGTCCTGCTTCGTCAATTTACAGAGGTGCCTGGTTATGGCGCACACCTTTAATCCCAGCACTTGGGAGGCAGAGGCAGGCAGATCTCTATGAATCCAAGGCCAGTCTAGTTTACAGAGTGAGTTCCAGGACAGCCAGGGCTACACAGAGAAATACTATCTAGAAAAAAAACAAGCAAACCCACAAACCAACCAAACAAGCAAGAACAAAAAGCAAGTATTCATGGGAGTCAGGTAGTGGGGCTCTAGCCGGCCAACTTTACTTTCATCCCAGGTGTCACCAGATGGACGACTTCGGGCCTGCCAAGAACCTCATGACCATGTGCTTCACCTACTACCACCTGGGTGAGTAAACCTGAGCAGAACAGCCACCCTGGAGTGAAGTTATGTGCTGTGCTGGTGACATGACATGGAGGGAAGCTTTGTCTAGTACCAGCCTTCTATCCTGCAGTCCCTGGGGACCACCTTCAGGTACTCTCCCTCTCCCGTCCATGCTGCAGATCTCTCCTTACTCCCTTTCTCTCCTCTCTCAAGGCAAACCACACCTGCTCCCCACAGAGCCCAGGGAGAAGCCGGCTGGCAGCATTGACTCCTACCTGAAGTCAGCTAACAGCTGGCTGGCAGAGAAGAAGGACATTGCTGAGCGTCTGCTGAAGAACACAGAGAACATGAAGGGCTTCTTTGGGGGCCTGGAGACCAAGCTGAAAGGGCCGCTGGTCAGGAAAAATGAGTGAGTGTGAGCACAGGCCTGAGCTTGTATGGAGACAGACTTTGGGGAAGCAGGTGGCTTGCCTAGTATTGGCCCCACAGCGCTTTTGAGTCACACAACTGTCAGCTCAGCATGACTCTACACTCCCAGAGCTTCCCATGGTTTCCACATGCTGTTTGCTGGCTGACACACTGGAGTCCAGGAACCGTGTTTCTGGGAATGATGGGAGCATATGGTTTTGTCATTTGGCAATAGGGAAACCACACTCTCTGCCCCCCCCCCCATTGCTATCATGCAAATTCATGTGAGCCAGATCAGGAAGGCCTTGGGTGCCACTGCCTCTAGGAGAGGCTGTTCTGACAAGCAGTACTTTTTTGTTTGGTTTTGGTTTGTTTGTTGTTTGTTTGAGACAGGTTCTCTATGTAGTTGTGGCTGTCCTGGACCTGGCTACATTGAGCAGGCTGGCCTTGAGCTCATCTGCCTGCCTCTGCTTCCCAAGTCCTGGGATTAAAGTCAGGAGTAGGGGCTGGAGAGATGGCTCAGAGGTTAAGAGCACTGACTGCTCTTCCAGAGGTCCTGAGTTCAATTCCCAGCAACCACATGGTGGCTCACAGCCATCTATAATGAGATCTGGCGCCCTCTTCTGGCATGCAAGCATACATGGAAGGAATGTTGTATACATAATGAATAAATGAATAAATAAAACTTTAAAATAAAATAAAATAAAATAAAGTCAGGAGTACCACACCTGCCCCAGAGGGCTCTTGGGATGGGTGCGTTGGTCATAGGAGTGCTGAAGCTGAGCTACCATGACGAGGGGGGCACAACAGTACAGGGGCAATCATCCATCCAGGGCCCTGCAGTACCTGAGGCCTGGTTACAGTCAGGATACACAACTTGTCCCCATCCACACAGAGGGCTCGTGGAAGATGGTGCCATGCAGTCTCAGCACCACAGGCCTCAGTCCCTAGACCTGTCATTTGTCACTGTGGCACTGGTTCGCAGCCTCTCTTCAGACGAGCCACACAGAGAACAGAGCAGCATCTGACAGGAAATGTGGCATGGGCCACCTTGTCACTGCTTTGGTCTCTCTCCCTCCAGGGAAGATGAAAACAAACCCAAGGACAGACAGATGAAGACTGGTAAGAACACAGCTCTCTGGGCTGTCCAGGAAATGGGGCCTTGGAGAGGTGGGACCTATGGCGTGGTGGAACCTGGGGATTGATACCTGGGGCAAAGGGGTGCCTGTAAAGGAAGGCATGGCCTACCTCTCTGGCTTTGTAACCAAGACATACCACCCAGGACTCTTAAACTGGCCCACCATTAATCATCAACAGAACAGGCAAGTTGCACATAAAAGGGCTTTGCTGGAGGGCAGGCTGTGCAGAAACTAAACCCTCCATCCCAGGAAGTTATGGGCCACACTGGGAAGAAGCCCTAAGCTAAGGATGACCAGGAGCTTTCTGGAATTAGGACAGTATAGCTTGATGGCTTTTGGGAGACCACAGTGTCTGCTGAGTGTCCATAGGATCTCCCAACAAGGAGTGTCCAGCCCAGGCTGCCCTTTGATCTCCTTACTTCCGCAGTGACTGTGATCAGCCCTGAAGATGAACAGAAGGGGGAGAAGGTTTACCTGTACACGCATCTGAAGCAGCAGCCCATCTGGTAAGGCCCACCCACATCCTGCCCCAACTGACCTGGCCTAGCTGCTGCCCAGCCCCTCAGCTGCCTATGTCTCCAGCAAAGATAGCGACCATCCTCACCTCTAGGGTAGTCACAGTGAGAGGATAGCTGCCAGCAAGTGTTAATAGGGATGCGAAGGCATCTGACTCTCCACAGAAGTGGGAAGGTACAGTGGCATGGCCATTGTGGAAATGCCGGACAGCTCCCCAGGGGCTAACAGAGTAGCCATGTGACTAGCCATTCCATTGCAGGTTCATGCATGTACCTATGCAGAAATCTGTATTACAGCGCACTGTTCGGAGCAGTCCCAAATGGGCAAGGCTAGCTGCCTGAGTAGGCATGCCATCTTTCTGCACCCGAATTGTGGAGTAAGCCTGCACACAGATCACCACACAGTGACCCCCCTCCCAAGCCGTTGTACTCAAAGAGAAGGCAGGCACAAAAGACCATGAGTCATCTCATCCTGTTTGTGCAGGATGCAGGGAACATAGAGTCACAGTAGATAAGCGGCAAGGGTGATGAGTGATTGTTGTGGGCTCCTTTAGGGGACTGCAGAAGTGCCCTGGGGCTAGACAGTGGGGAGCGCTACACAGTTGAATACACTGAGCAATCACTGAATTGCACGCCTCATTTATTTCTTTATTTAACTTTCTAAATTATTTGGAGTGTATTGCTTGCACGTATGTCACTGCACCATATGTGTGCCTGGTACCCTTGGAGGCTAGAAGTGGGCCTTAGATCCTCTAGAACTGGAATTGAAGATAATTGTGGGCTGCCATATGTGGGTTGGGAATCAGCACCCCGGTCCTTTGGAAGAGCAGTAAGTGGTTTTAACCACTGAGCGCTAGAAGTAAGGTCTCATGCGAGGACTCTGCCTGAGCACCTCAGGAAGGGATTCAAGTAGTCACCACACTTTCGGGTCAGTTCTTGAAGTATGCTGTGAAGCAGGGCTGTCTTGTTCACTTGGCCTCTCCTGGCCATGTTGGGATGCAGCCAGGGACCCTTGCCAGAACCAGTACAAGGCTGTTGGAAGCCTCTAGCCGTAAAGCTTGAGTCATACATTTTCTGAATATATCATTGTGCTAACATCACCAACCGTTAGCACAAAACAGACCAAGACAGTAGCCGTTAGCTCTGGCAGCCCTTAGTGTTGCTCAGAGCCCTGGGGAGCCTCCCATTTCCCATTCTCTCATCAGTGAAGAGCAACTCTAGCATGTAGTAGAATGTATCAACATGGCTCCTCCCTCAAAGGTCACAGTCCAGCAAGGGCCATGTGAGAAGTGTGACTGAGAAATGCAATGGGAACCGCCGGGGCAGGGGTGCTGGGTAGAGGCTCGTGAGGTCAGCACAGGGAGGCTGGACCTGAACCAACTGGAGACACTGTTCAGCAGAGGTGAGGGCCTCACTGGGTCCACATTACCCCAGAAGCTCTGCTGGACCCCTAGGTACCTGAACTTGGTGTAACAAAGGGTCTACTCTTGTGGACGCTGGCTCATGTGGTCTCTGTTCTCCCACACGCTATACTGCGTAGTAAAAACTGCCTGTGGCAATGAGCCTTCATGTGCAGTTGCAACATAGGCCACAGGCCACCCCTGATTTTCCAGCTTCCATGTTCCCGTAGCTATGTTCCTATAACTGCCATGGTGTGTGGCTTCTGGGTTCCCATGTTGGTGAGGAGATCCTATTCAGCAAGAAGGGGTCTAGTTGTCCACTTTCCCTTGGAAGCCCACTGCTGCCTGCCTGAGCAACTGAGCAGGCTAGCTTACTCCACTCTCCCACGGGCCTCTTCAACTCTTCCGTCCCCTGCCAAAACAACATTTTACTCACCTCTCAGGCTTCCCAGACGCAAAACGGGAAGCTGTTATTCTTGGTGTGGAGGGTAGGGAGGGCGTACGTACTCCTGGGTAGATCTTTACCTTGTCTCATCCTACAGGCACACATTGAGGTTCTGGAATGCAGCCTTTTTTGATGCTGTCCACTGTGAGAGGCGGAAGCGATCCCCCACCACCAGGTATGAGCCAAGGGTGTCCCCTCCAGCCTTGGGAGAGGACCAAGTCTTGGCTCACTCTCCCAAGTCCTTGGGAGCCAGCAAGATGGCTGAACTGCTGTTGGGTTCTTCCACCCATATGTCCCAGAGCCCTGCAAGCTGCCTGAGGGGTTAGTGCTCACAGCTTTGGGGGTGGAATGCTCAGCTTGCATGGTGCTTTCTGTCCTGGGGCTCTGGCATGACATGGCCTGATCCTCCTGAAAATACTACCTCTGCCCAAGGGAGAACACTGGCCTCCACTCCACCCCTCTGTCCACTGTTAGAATCAGGCCTGGCAGTGTAACTACCCCCTGGGCCCATAGCTGCAGCCTAAGCAGACCTTCTCAGCCATGCCCACACTAGTCCTGTACATCCAATGGCCTTTGGGACCCTGATCAGAAGGCATGGAAAGCAGGGAAGGGGGGCTTGTCCCCAATACCACAGAGGCTCTCTTTGGGAGCAGGCGCAGGTTGCTACCCTCTCCAGTTAGCTGCAAGGCAGCAGCTCCTGTGGAAGCACAGCCAGCCCTACTGGCCCACAAGTGTGGGACTTTGTAGCCAGTAGCTCAGAGCTTGGATTGACTATCAGTAGGGAGGCCCTGTGTCTTCTCTGTGTTTGAGAGGGAGCGGATGAGCAGAGCACCATCTGGTCGAGGCTCCTCTGCTGGAAAGTGAATATTTGAGGTAGAGCCCTTCCTCAGAGGAGCAGCTGAGGCCAGTGGAAATGAGGTGGCTTGCCTCAAGTCCCATGATCCTCTGTTGGGACTGTTTCCTGGGGAAACTGAGGGAGCATGGGTTGGACAAGGCCCTAGACTTCCAGAAGACCCTGGGGGAGAATTCCACTCTGTCTGGAGACTGGGCGGCCTCCAGGCACGCCATTGGCTTCTCACTGAGCTCTCCCAGCACCTAGGGATCCATCTGTTCTGGGTTCCCTGTCTCTCTCTGTCCTCTCCGCTCCCACCTAGAATAATCCTCTCTGCTTGTTCTTTTCCATCCACATATCTTGCATGACTTTGACATGTGCCTTTGTTTACCTGTTTCTGCTGCCGCTCCAGAGGGGATGCTGGAGAGCAGGAGGAGAAGAGGTGTGTGTCCACGTGACTTCGTTCCATTTTACAGCTCTGGGGTTCCTTCCAAGGCCACTGCCAGGAGGGGAGGGTGTCTTTGGGGAGGCATGCCTTGTGCTAGGTAGGCTGGTGACAGGGCCTGACCCAAGACAGATAGAGCTTGCCAGGGTCAGAGCACCCTAAGATAGTTAGAAAACAGGACACTGTGAGCCACCCCAAGAGGCACACATGGGCAAAAGACTGCTAGCCCTCAGGGGCATGCCACTCTCCGTGGACCCCTCTGTACCTGGGCCAGACACAGGAATCCCACTGGTGTGGAAATGGAGGGTGGGTGTGGAAAAGCTGTCCTGTTTGCAGCTCCTCCCACTCCCCCTGAAGGGATGTGCTACCTGGTCTAGGGTCACATAGAAGGACAGTTGTCCCTCTCCTTCAGCCATTGGGTAATCAGAAGAGCTAGGGGTGGTCCCTTGAAGCAAAGATGGGCTGCCTGCCTTTGAACCTGCATTTTTAGAGTAAAAGCTGTGCCGAGTCATAAAGAGCTGTGAACCCAGGTGGGTTACCCTGGAGCCTGGACACGCATCTTTCATGGCAATGGTTCACAGCTGTTCTGCTCTGACGACCCTTGCTACTGTGACTTCACAGTAGCTGTGAGGAGTATTCAGGCCTGACATCCCACTCGCAGTATCAGGGACCCATACCCCCATGTTCTCTCAGAGAACCCTGTGACAAGCCAGCTTCCTAGGAACAACTTGGGCCTGAAGATAGGCACTGTCACAGTCCACCCCCACCCCCATCCCCACCCCAGACAGCTGAGCTGGTCCATGCTACTGGCTCAGCGACCTGTTCTGAATCCAGCTGAAGGAGCTTCCAGCTGCCTAGGCCTCACAAGCCACCTCAGTGGAGCCCAAGCTGCTAACTGGTCAGCACAGGCCTCCTGGAGAGTAGCTGGTGTCACTCAGGTTCCCCAGCCTCCAGCAGCTGTCTTTCTCGGTGTCCCTGCTAACAGCAGGTTCCTTTCCATCGCTTAGTCCCAGAGGTTCCCATCAAGTGCTGGACGCGTGCACACACACACATACGCACACACACGCACACACACACATGCACGCACACATGCACGCACACACGCACGCACACACGCACGCACACACACACGCACACACACATGCACGCACACACGCACACACATGCACACACACACGCATGCACACACACACATACACACATGTGAACGTACACACGCACGCACGCACGCACAGGGAAAGAGAGTGCTAAGATTTATGATCGATGTTCCATGTGTAGGTCATTGCAGAGGCCTGGACTCAGCTCTCAGGAAGCAACTAGACAGAAGGCACCAGTCAGGCCAAGTTGCTCATGACTTTCTACTCTTCTTTCAGAAGTCAGGTGACACCTCAGTTTTTTAGTCCCGTCCACAGCAAGGAGAATCACTTCTTTCTGGGGTCGGGCATGAAGGATTGGAGCCGCTGTGCTGCACAACTCAGTGGTTTACTGTGCACATCTGCACATGGCAGGCCGCTGGTGGTACAGGGCTGTGTGTACCCAAACTGCCTCAGAGCAAGTGCTGGAAGGCTGCACGGTCCTCCGGTGCATTCTGGGATCTCGATAGGTGTGCTGCCTGAGCATGCGGAGGGTGCAGGTGAACTCTACCCTGCCGAGCCGTGGCAGTCAGTGGCCTGGGCCAGGAAGAGCCAGGCCTGGGCTTTCGTCCCTTTGTTTTGTTCTCTCCCTCCCTTCCTTCTGCTTCTCCACGACTGACCTCTTCGTCCTCCATGCTACTTCTCTCCCTGTGCTCTGATCTTTCTCTCCACTCTGCTGTAGTTAGAGTCATCCATCCTGAGACTTCTCTCTGGAGGAAGCGGGCCAAAGTGAGCTCCCCTCCCATGGGAAGCCGTGTATTTGTCCTCTGAGTACCAGGGTCTGACTTCACGTGGGCAATGAGCATAGACACGGGGGGGGGGCTGCTCTGCCCTCTTAGGGGCTGTCCAGGAGTCTCACCAGGAAGGGGAAAGCCAGGGTAATGGGTGGCAGGCGATGGTCTTGCTGTGTTAGTGGCAGAGGTGTTAGTGTAGGCACCTTTCTCTCCGACCCCTGGGCCTCTCCTCTACACAGGGCAGGTGGATGCTTACCCGGGTGCTCACCCCATGCCACCTGTCCTTCTTAGGAGAACAGTTCTTCTTAGAGACTGTCCACAACCCCATTGGCTTTAGAGTATGGGCTGGCTTCATGATGGCCACATGGTCACAGACCAGTGCCAGGAAGCCTGTAGGCAGAGTGTGGAGTGACTGTCCCCTCCATGGTGGGAAACAGTTATGGTGGAGACTCCCTGTGAAAGTGTGGCTGTTTTATATTCTCAGGCTCCCCATTCCGGGGTCTCCTGTAGATGCTGCCTTTTGCATATGGTCACAGGACACCAGGCAAGGCCCTACACTCTCTGAATTTCCTGACCTGTTAGGTGGACCAAGTCCTCAGGACTAAGAACCGCCCAGGTCTCCAGGATAACAGAGTGTTATCTTTGTGGGTCTTCATCTTAGGCAGGGAGTTTGCTGGTGTTCGGCAATCCCCAGACAAGTGGCAGTCTCTGGTGGAAGGTACCCCCAAACCAGGTCCCCATGTGTCCAAGAGCCAGTGCAGACTGCCAGCTCCACAGAGCAGGGGAGGGAGGGTCCCAAGCCATTCTGAAGCCCATCCTGTCCTTCCTGTGCCCACAGGGAGAAATGGTGCCACATGACCCAGGAAGAGCGGGATGACAGCCTGCGGTTCAATGAGAATATCACCTTCGGGCAACTGGGGTGAGAACCGACCCATGAAACCAGCCTGGGCCACCTACCAGGATGGGGTGGTGTAGTGGGTCTGATTTTGCAGGGGCACAGGGATTGTTAGTCAGTCCTTCTCTTGATCCTGGGGTGCAAATTCCAGTTAAGAGGTATGGGTAAAATTTTCACCTGTGCTGCCCCAGGTCCCAGCCATCCCCCTGTCTTAGAGCCCAGTGTCTTGGCTCCCTTTTCTGGACTGACAGGAGGGTAATGGCCATGGGTGTTTCTCCTGCAGTACATTCACCCACAACATGCTGGCCTTTGGCCTGAACAAGAAGCTGTGCAGTGACTTCCTGAAGAAGCAGGCTGTGATTGGCAACCTGGATGAGGGTGAGCTGGGCAAGGGGTATTGTGGGGAGGCGGGAGCCAGAGCAAGCCCTCTACACTGGGGCTTCTCACCCTGCCAGAGGAGGGCACCTGCCGTGGAAACCTGTTCCCCTGGCTTACCTTCTTTCCCGAATCTGTGGAACGTATACTCTGGCTGTGTAGCTAAAAGTCGTGTCTGGTGAGGGATGGCAAGTGATGTGAGGCACAGCCAGGTCAGAAATGAACATGGCTCTGTCAGTCTGTCTCTGCACTTGTGCAGAGCAAAACCTTGGCCACAAGTGAGTACCTTCAAGAGTGCCATCTGGTTTTGAACCACACTGTCAGGGCAGGGTGGTGGATAATGGGGGGACTCTGAGGCTTCCCAGAGTCCATTGCTCTGCCTCAGCAGAGAGCCTTGTGACTCAGTGTTGTTGTCTCAGCATTGCAGCAGGTTCGTATGTTACCATTTGCTACTGGTGTTCTCCTGGACCAACGCCTTATACTTAGACCTCTGTTTGATAGACTGTCTTCGTTTCTAGCCAGGAGGAGCCGCTGCAAAGGCACAAGGGCATTTGCAGCCAGCAGGCAGCCTCAGTGTTATCTCCCCCTCCATGTGGCCATCAGAGCTTAACAAACCTTCTGTTGGCTACGGGGGCCGCATTCCATACATGACACCATTCCTGTAAAAATTGTGTTTCTCATCAGAGTGAGGACCCACTCCCAAGAGTGTGCTCCTTGACAAAGGCTCAGCTCTGAGCTCTCGCAAGGAGTGTCTAACTACCTGTGACTGACCATGACTTTAGCCAGTAGTCTCATCCATGGCCTGAGTGTGCAGATTAGGCCAAGTCATTCCTGGCTACCAACCATCTCTTCTGGAATAATCCTGTCTTCTCTTCCAGAGCAATACAAGCTGCTAAGTGACCACATTGAACAAATGGCCACAGAATAGGAGGTCAGCACACGCTGCTCTCCCGGGAGCTGTCACCCCAGTGATGACCCTGCATGACACCAGCAGCACCCAGAGCCGTTCCTGGCTGCCCTAGAACTAGCAGTTAAAAGACTCCAGAAGCCTGTCTCCCCCTGCCTGTGTTTGCTCCCCACTCTATGTACAAGGTGTCCCTTTGGTTACACAGCTAAAAATGAGGGACCATCTACCCCCACCTATCCTTGAGCACCAGGCTTATGAGATGAGACAGACGGTGGAGGAGGCCATAAGCTAGGGTCCCAGAGTTCCTTCTGAGAGCCAGGGACATGTGGACATGGAGGTGCAGGAGGGACACACACAGCTATAAGGTGCAAACAGAACCTCCACTGAGGGTCACAGCCAGCCACTCCCTGCCACAGGACTTTGTGGGAGCATAGCTGTGTGGAGGGACCGTGGAGCCTTCCTGAAAGGTCTTGGCTACCTGCTCTTTGTCACCTCTGCATGTGGCAGGAACTAGAAATCACAGGAACTGGAAGAGAACTCAAAGGTTGTCACTTTCCTAAGGGTGTGAGTGTTCTGCCAGCCACAGCCTTGTCTCAGACTCCAGAAGTCTGTCAACAGAACCTGTGAACTGTCCACTCGACGCCGTCTCTCCTTCAGTAACAGAGAAAATTCTCAGTTCTCAGACAGCAGCAATATATGTCATGGAGTGCAAGAAGCATGGGGGAATGGTGTCGTCGGCAGCGCTGGGAGGACACCCTTGCTAAGACTGCTTAGAGCTGGAGCACACAGAATCCATCTGACTGAGAGGAGGCCACAGGGAAGTGAAGTTGCCTGATAGCTCCAGCCCGTGCCCTTCTCCTTCTGAAAGACCCACAGGGACTTGCCTCCTCTGCACCCATGTGCCAGACAAAGTCTAACCCACAGCATCCAGTGTGCTGGCTCCAGAGCTGCTGTCCCCATCCACCCCACCAGCAGCCTAGGTTCCTTCTGTGCCAGCGACAGCCATTCTGGTCACTGACCTTGAATTCGGCCTTGCAGGCTCTGCTGTCACCCTCCATTGCCTCATCGTTCCCCATCCCTCAGCCTTCAGTCATATTCAGTCAAGGTCTGTCTGCGAGCACAGCAGTCCTCTCCTGACAGCCATGTACTCAGCTGCCGTAGGCAAGCTTTCCCTGTGGGGAATGTCTCCCTAGGATGTCCAAAGAAAAGCAGATGGGGTCGAGCTTTTGATCGAGCATTTCTTGGATGTTGGGGGTGACCAAGGCCGTTCATTCATCGCGGAACAATTCAAACAAATGCTGACAGCCTGGTCAGCCCCCGATGACATAGGATGTATTACTGGGGCCAGCTAGGACACCCACCCCAACCTTAGGACCCCATAACTGTGCCTGTCTCCACTCCTGTGTTTTAGGGAAGTGACATCAAGTTGGGATCACCCCTGCTGTCCTCTCTAGAGCCTTCCTCAACTGTACAAGTATGGCAGCCTCTCCTTGCTCCTCCCAGTCCTGCGTTAGTTGAGCTCAGGAGTAGTGAGACTTGACTCCAGCAGCTGCGTTGTCTGATTTCTGCCTTGCCCCGTGCAGCCATGCACAGCCTTAAGGGGAAGAGAACCAGTGGTTCCAGCACACGGTCTTTAGAAGTGACTTGGAGACTGTTCCACAACAACTTTTTGAGATAACCCTTCAAGGAGAAAAGGAAGGATGGCTCTGTTATCTGTTTTGTCTGTCTTGCTTTTTATTCTTGCAGATCCAGCCCTACAGAGTTGGGAAACTCTGACCCATGTTAGATCTACAGGCCACTGCTAAGTACTTGGTAGCCCTCTGAGGACAAGGTGGCCCTTGATGGGAGCAAAGATGCAGGTGATGGAGGTGAGCCCACCATCACCTGCAGATGTCCTGTGTTGACAACTAGCCTTGTCATCTGGGAGTCTCTGGCCAGTGTCTCTGGGAGGTCACTAGTCTGCCCATGAGTTATCTTGTCTTCCTGTGGTAGCTTTCCCCTAGGGCTCACCAAGCACTGGTGAGCCCTGGCAAGCACTCCTTGGCTGCCCTGCTGAGCTCACAAGCAGGTCAAATTACCTGGATAATCCCAAGCAGTATCTCCAGTCTTGGCTGGTAGTGGCCCAGATCTGTGCAGGCCCATTAGCAGCACACTCAAGCCTTTCTGACATGTGACCTTCAGCGCTGTGTGAGTCTTTGTCACTCACAACAGTGTTGTCACCAGTTCTGAAAACAGGCCAGTGGTAAACTGTGACTCTGCTGCGGTCAGCTTTGTTAGCATATTATGGGTGTCGGTTGCAGAGCGTGGCAGCCTCCAGGCTGAGTGTCTAGCCACAGGCGGGGCCACACTCGGGTCTATTGAGAGATCTGCATTGCGCAACCTGGCATGCCATGATTTTTCTCTTGGAGGGCAGTGTCTCAACAAGCGGGCTGCAGACAAAGCTGGTGTCCAAGCTTCATCCACATAGGAAGGAAGTCTGCCTGGCTGGGCCTACTGTACACCTGTAATCCTTCACTCAGGAGGTGAAGGCAGGAGAATCAGGAGTTCAAGGTCATTCTCAGCTACATAGGGAGTTCAAAGCCAACCTGGGCCACACGAGCCCTGATCTCAAGGGAAAAAACAAAAACAAAACAGCAAAAGGTGATCCTGAGAACTCAGGGTAGCCTTAGAGCCAGTGTCCCAGCTGAAGAGTTAGCCTGATACAGATGGGGTCCCACAGCCTGCCTTGTCCCCCCTCACCCAAGAGGAAGCAGTCAGTGCTCTGTTTCTGTGGATCAGGGACACTGGAGGCTCCAAGGGCAGCTTGCTACTCTAGAAACACCTGCCATTCCAGGTTGCTGGTGTGAGTGACCCAAGTTTCCCTGCTGGGAACTGTGTGAAGAGTGGAGGTCTAATTGTGGTGACCTCAGAAGTCCCAGGCGAGCTTGACCTTCCTGGGTCACGTGACTAGCTGGTTTTTTCATGCTGAGTCTGCACAGCTGGAACAGCTTTATCCCGGTTCCCAGACTGCAGTTGGACAGCCAGAAGACTCCAAAACTAGAGGATTCTTGTGTGGAACACATAGGAAGGGCCTCTAGGAGGTGGCTCTGAGCCTAAAGCCTCGGGGAAACAGTGGTTCCTGGGTTCCAGGCTCCTGCCCCCACACCTCCCATCTTCCTTCAGATCCATCCTCACAGCCACAGTCTCAGGTTTGTTTAGCTTGAGAAGCTGCCGGTAGATGCCCACGGAATGGGCCTCATTGACTGGACAGGCCTCTTGCTGCTGGGTTCCTGTGCTCCACCCCTTCAGGGAGTACACTATTAGGTCAGAAAATGAGCGGACCCGTCTTTTCCAGACTGCTCACATGTGGTGAACATACCCCTACTAAGGCCACCTTCCATGGCAGGCTCCTGCAGGGCCTCCATTCTGTACTGCAGTTCCCCTGGAGACTCTGGCTCAGCATGCCACCTGCTCCTGGAGAGGGATGGGGTCCAGAGAGTGATGTGGGCCAGTTTGCCCTGCTGCAGGGTGACAGGGAAGCTTATGCAAATGTCCCTCTGGTAGTTAGTCTGAGCTTTGAAAAACAGAGCTGGGAGCACCACCCCAAGTTGGGCTGTGTTCATGGGGCTCCTCAGGAAGTTGGTGCTTTGGGGGACCAGCTTCACTGTAGACTCCAGGCTCTGATGGGAAGTGGTATGAGTTCAGTTACAAGCTCTGCTCAACTTCAGAGAGAGAACTTTATCCAGAAAGGACCCCTGCCCATGGATTGCCTTGGCTTGGCTCCTGAGCTGAGGAGCCCTTACTGCTAGATGATGGCTATGTTCATGGAAAGGAGGAAAGAGACCCTGCCTGGGGTGGGGGAGAAAGGTTGGCTCACCGCCATGCTTGCAAGAGGCGCTAGCATAGGGTCAGCTGGGGAGAAGAACGCTGGTCAGTAGCCTGAAACCGTCACTTCATTCAGAATGGGGATCCCTGAGAGGGATGAGTTGGACATTTGACTGTTGGGAGACACTAGTCTCAGACAGCAGCCATGTATCCCCATGGAGCATATGTGAGGACTTGGACCGTCGGCTGCCTTGCCATACCCGGTTCCCAGTGCAGTTCCTGTGGGGACTCCGCCTGTGCGGTCTGTTCTCTCTTAGGGTTCCATACCCATTTTTTGCCAGAAGCCCCCCAGTGATGCTGTGTTTTATATGTTAGTTACACAACTTGGTGCCCTGCCAGGTCATGTTCTAAAATTAAGGTTGAGAAAGTTATGAGGTTGAGGATCTCAGGCAGGGCTGTTTCCTGTGAAGAAAAAAAAAAGTGTACCTATCCATATATATAGTACCTTGACTTGTCAGGAGGTGAAAGCTGAAATAAATTATCTTTGAAAAAAGAAGTCATATTAACTTGTTTTCACATATCTGTGAGGACTTCGCAGAATACATAGTCACGTCACGAGCTTTGCAGAAATAGATAGCCCCACCCCCCTCTAGACCCGGAAGCTGGGCTAGAGTTTGCCTGAGGACAGAGTGTGGCCTGCTACTTGGACATGTGGGGTACCTGATCGCCACCTGTCATGTGGGGCCAAATTGGGGTCTCCCACGTGGGAGTGTTTTGGCTTAGAGAGGAGGCAGGGCCAGGGGCACCCTGATGCCTAGGGGGTGATCAAGCCTGGGCTCACCCAAGTTGTCTGTGGAACTCACCCATGAGTACATTGTTTCAAATTTAGGACCTTTCATGCTCATGATGGCCTCATTCTTCCTAGGGAACAGCTCCCCTGAAGAGTGTGCTCAGGGATCACCCTACACATGCTCCTGGAGGTGCCCACCCACCCTCTACCTACCCCCACTGTGAACCTCTGTGTGTTCATGGCCCCGTGGCCACTGTATAGATCATGCCATGTCTGTGTAATGGCTGAGATCTGTGCCTGTCTGCCAAGTTCATGTATTGAAGAATCAAGTCCTGGGGTGCAGAGCCTGCAAATGGTCCTTGTGCAGGGGTTCGAAGGCAACCACAGCAGGGACCCTGAGCTTACAGAAAGGGGCATTTGGGTACAGACTTAGATGCACTCAGGAAGAACACTGTGTAGAATCAAAAGCAGACATTCGGCATCATAGCCATAGGAACAGGCTGTACAAGCCAGAAGCTGGACATAGGCCTAGGCTGCCTGTACCTACCCACAACACCTGATGTGGATGGCAGATTCTGGGCAAGGAGGTCTATGCTTCTGCTGCTTTAGCCTCCCAGTTGGTGGTACTTGACCCCCAAAACTAATCCACCACTCTTTAGCATAACGCAAGTGTGGAGACTCCTGTCCCCAGATGAAGGCAGGAAACAGGCAAAGCAAGGATGCTACCGAGAGTCACATGTCTCTCACTGACACCAGGAGTAGGAGTCCGCAGAGCAGCCTGCTGTGCCGATAAGGGAAGTGAGACTACGGGGATCCCTGACCTGAGGACACAAGCAGAGCCCACCAGGGTCCAGGCCAGCTGAGGCCTTCCACCTGCCGCTGGATCCTCTTCCTAGTCATGGCCTCCCTGCTGCTGTCCCCTGAGGTCCTCCAGGGGGATCTCCTCCACAGAGTCTGCCTCGCTCTCCTCCTCATCTTTTCCTTGGTGTGCCATGGTACTCTGAACACTCTGAATGATGGAAAGAAAAGTCACAGCCGCAGCACCCAAACTAGGAGCAGTGGTGACCAGGAGCTGGACAGGTGACTCTCCTGTACCACTATAAGGAATGACTGTAGCTATGTCCACCCCCTCACAGTGTCCACCCCCTCACAGAGTCCACCCCCTCACAGTGTCCCCCTCCTCATAGTG